CTCAGAATGCACTTGAGGAGCTAGCGGTCCTTGTAGAGGTGTTTTATGGGGTAGTTGTGGTTGGTGCACGGGCTCTCCATGAGCTCATGGAAGTGTCCCGGAGGGTCCTGCAGGGGCTGCGTGCCCGCGTGATCAGCCGTGTCGACCAACGCGGAGTTGGCCGGTCAGCGGCGATTCTTTCTGTTCTTTTTCCCCCTCTGTGTGGAGGGGCCCTCGTCCTGATCCTGTCGCTTGGCCTTGCCCTTGCCCTGGCCTCCGTCGAAGTGCGGCGGGGGCGGCGTTTGTTGGAAGTTTTGGACAAAGGTCCGCGGTCCCGGGCCATCAGGGCTGGGACTCTGGTCGCTGCTGCGTGTGCCTAGGTTCGGTCCGAGCCGTGCATACACAGGCGGTCGGTGTGGAGTGGTCATCAAGTCAAGACAAGGTGCCAATGCGGCCACCTGTGCCGCACTTGGCGATTGTAGCGGCGATCGGGTGGAGCGGCCCATCCGCTGTGTCCCCGTTCCCTTGATGGGGAGCGAGGCCGCAAGTCGGCGTCGCAATAAGGAACACTCCACTTGTTGAACAGCGGCGGTCTCCACTAGTGTCCGGAGGTTCCGGTGGATCGCCTGTTCATGAAAGTCGTTTGGCTCGGACAGGCCGCGCAAAGGCATTGTCACGGCGGCGATGTTCTGATTCGCTCGAACGAACTGTGGGGGATCGTTCCCCCTATCCATGGTGTTGTGCTGGACCCGATGGGCGTGATCCCGAGCGCCGCTCGCCGGTCTACGCGCACGGGGCGCAACGTGGTGCGCCGAGCGTGGTGGCATAGTCGGTGGCTGATGCAGCCACCGTTGTCATAGTATCTCCCTGTGCTCACCTGTGAGCTCGGGGGTCTCCGGATGAGGGCCCGGAGAGGTGTGAGTCCATGAGGACTCCGCTTCCGCCGGTGGGTGTCCCAGAGCGTCCGCCATGGCGCACTCCCGGGACGGACGGTGGCTAGGCACCATGTCGCCGATGCTGGAGCCGTCACTCTCGCCATCGTCATCCTTGAGGTCGAGGAAATAGGTGGGAGCATAGCTCGCCATTCCCATGAATTCGGATGCGAGAGGGGGAGGCGCTGGCATCCTTCGGAGCCCCCGGGCGTATGCGTCCACGGAAGACGCGAGGCCATAGGGGAACCGGTTGTACGGCGGTTGCGTCGGGGACAATGGGGTTCCGTCGGGTAATCGGCGGAAGATAGAGAATAGTAAGTAAATAATAGCGTGTACATTACTCACAGCGGGGTTTGAGCAGAGAGTTTGCTCGGAAAGAAGTGCATATGTCACGTCATCGAAGTCATGCGTCCTGGAGTTGATGGAGGGCGCCCCTCCGACGGGTGCCGGGATGTGAGCCTCCTCGTAGAGGTGCAGTACGCTGAGCCGGTCGGCGATGAAGTCTAGGCTTCCGGAGAGGAAGGCCTAGGAAGGCTCGAAGATGGGTGGGACCCGCATCCCAGCTGGTGAGAGTGCGGGGAACTCCAGCGAGCCGAAGCGAATCGTATCGCCCGAGCCCGCCACGGCGAGGGTGGCGGGAAAGTGGGCCATTCGATGACCAAAAAGTGTTGAACGTACAACGTCTTCCCCATGGACGGCGCCAACTATCGGTGTAGAATGTGACCAACTAGTAAATATTTGTAGTTTTGCCGTACGTTGTGATCGGAGGTGGCCTAGCACTCAATAACACAGGGTTTATACTGGTTCAGGCAACGTGCCCTACGTCCAGTTTGGGTCGGTCAGTGACTTTATTCCTGAGCCCAGGTGCTCGAAGTTTGCAGTGGGGTTACAAACGAGAAGGAGAAAGATGGGGTGTACAAGAGGTCCGGTCGGCTCTGGTCAGAAGGGCCGAGAGCGACAGGAGCTACGCTATGAGCTAAGTGTTCAAGCGTGTGCTTGAGGTCCGAACCTGGTGGTTCTGTGGTTGTGGACTAGTGAACTTGGTTGACCTAATGAATCTGAGAAAGGCTCTTCAAAAGCCCCCCCCCCCATTTTGTTGGAGGGAGCGCATCCCCTTTTATAGATAAAGGGGATGGCTTTACAAGTGAGAGAGTGAGGGTATGTATGCTACTGAGCCTTGCTGCCCATGCCAGTGGATACAAGATAATGGTAGACGCCTACAACACTGTTGATGTCACTGTAGAATGCCAGATGCATGTGGGAGGTTGCGTTTGCCTTCTCTAGGAATGGTAGACGTCGGTACCTGTAAATACTGTTTGATGCCTAGAGGCATGTGAGGAGTGTCACCACGTTCACCTGGTACGGTAAATCCCGGCGCCCACAACACTATTGATGACCGAGGCACGTAGGGGGCCTTACCGTATGGGAGTTTTAACGACGCCTACAATACTGTAGAGGAAAATGTCAGCGCCTACAATACTGTTTATGTCAGGGCGGTTGTAGAGTACTGTTCCTGTAGACGTACAGGGTATGGTCCCTGGTATCGTGGTTTGACTTGTGCGCCCTGGCTTGCTTTCTCCATTCGTCTCTGGTTCCTTCCGAGCGGGCGTCCCCGGTCGGATGGCCCCAGTCGGCTCTGGTCGCGCTAGTCGGAGAAGAGTGGTGAGTAGGGTTTCTGCGCACCCCGGTCGAAGACGCGGGGTCGGAGTCGAAAGTAGCGCTTGGGCCAGGCCTTCCGATCGGAGAGGCCGTCCGGAGGCGGCTGGAGTCCGAAGCGAGCGCTCCGGTCGGAGAGGTGGGCCGAAGTAGTCGATGAGCGGGCGCTGTTCCTCTTCGGTCAGACCTTCCGGTCGGTGACTGGACCACTCTTCTGGCCTGTTGTTTTAGACTCTTGGGCCGGTCCATGAGTTGTGTGCTGCCTGCTTGGGCCGAGCCCTGGCGTGGAAGCCGGTCCCCGAGGGACCCCGGGTTTATGAACCCGACATATGTAGATTAAGATTAGATAAATCTAGTAATAAATAGTCAATGAGTTTCTCCTGTAGTTTTATGTTTCAAATACTTCTTGCTTTATTAATGAAATAGGCACAACCTTGTGCCTGTTGGTTCCAAAAAAATGTTTCAAATACTTCTTATCCCTAGATAAGAAGTTGTTGTCAAATCCATCATCATTGATTTAATTTAAAAAGCCACTTGCTAAGCAAAACAAGTATTTTGAGTCTCTAGGTCTAGGGTTCCTAAACCTCCTTGCTCCTTTGCATTGGTCACCATAGGATACTGAGTTGGGAATTATGTATCATGTAATATAATGTATTCTAAAAAATTTCAGACAACTTAAAGGAACACTCAAATGACGTCCATGGATTAAACCTAACTAAGGAGTTTTTCCTTAAATTATGGTTTTCTTTCTAATAAACTTTGCCAAATATGAGCATGGGCACCATATAGAAAGCATTTATATTTCAGCATCAATTTTAGAAGTCATAACGCACTATATATTTTAGGACGGAATACTATGCATGCCAACAATTTCTAAACCTCCTTTCTCCTTTGGTAAGTATAGCGTACCCCATTTTTGGGTACTATGTGCATTTTGAGTCTTCTCCCGTTTAAAAGAAGTTACCTTAGCTTGCAGTTCCAACTTTAGCCCTGTGCGCAATTGCCTGGTGCCAGTGGCGGAGCCAGGAAGGGGGGGGTTCATCAAAGAGTTTGAACATATGAGAACTGAGTGTAGCTTAATTGTTTAAATTTTTGCTCTGGGGTTAAGTTGTATTTTCCTAGATTTATTTCAGTATTTGATGATTTAACATGCTCTCCATTTTCCCATGGTAGATGACCGTCTCTGTTGATATTGGGGTGCATTTGATGACTCGTGAATATTAAAATCTACCGGCTTAGTATTTTGGAAGTGCTCATACCCGTGGTAGGTGACCATTCTGTCGACAACACGGTGCATGTGATGACTCATGAATCTTAAAACCTATCCTCTTAGTATTTCGAAAGTGCTTATAGTGGAGTAGGATGTATGTTTGTTCATAGAAGTGAGTGTGCGTGTATGTATGTGAGCATCTACATCTATAATGTTGATTCACAATAAAAAGAGATGATCAACGAATTGTTATTGACAATCAAGTAATACGTGTTCAGTAACATATAAAGTATGTATGTGAGCGTCTACATCTATTCTATTAAATTTTGTTGTCTAGAGGATATTAGTAGACATATATAACAACATTTTATTTATTATACCCTTTTAATATAACATAGACTATTAAACTGTACATATATTGTAAAAAAGTTTGTATTGTTAGGGGGGGGGCATGGCCCCCTGCTGGCCCCCCTCTGGCTCCACCCCTGCCTGGTGCTAGGTAGCCATTGAGTGGAGAGTGATTGATATAGCTGCCAAAGAACAGAAGCACTTACCGCATAGTGCACACTCCTTCATTCCATCTCCCTTGAGAGAGATAGCTAGCCGAGAGCAGTGTTACCCCAAAGCTAGCGCTGAGCTGTGGCCTGGCGCTGGTGGGCTATGGGCAGAACTGGTTAGCAACAGAGGTGCTTGTGATAGCTATTCTTCCTTTTCTGAATGTACAAGGTAGTAAAGTTTTCATCTGAAACTATGGCAGGACATCCCCATTACGTTCCTTGTAACAGGGGTTTAGTTAGGCCAAATGATTTACTGATTGTTTTTTTATTTGAGGGAGATTTACTGATTGTTTTAACTAAATCACCGATGTAGATAATTAGGTTATTTGGTTGGGGCGGGTGTGTGAGAAATTGAGGGAGGGAAGGAGGTAGTCTGCCTGGTGTTACTTTGGTTATGTAAAACTGTGAATCCAATTTTCTTTATTTCTAACATTAAGCTAGAACAGACAAAATAGGCCTTTTTGTCAGGAAGCTGCTGCTGGCAAATATTGAGGTTCAGAATTCCGCATAAACAGATTCTGTATTTTTTTTTCTTCAGGTTTCGAAGCTGGAGGCAACCATACTCCATCTAGCATCAGCCCATGGTCCATCATTTGAGATAACTCTTCCATATTGGTGGCAACTGATGGAACGTCATGTTTTAGTCGAAACATTGTTGCTCTGAGGATGGAGGTCATCTGCAACGACTGCCCAGCTGGTGGTGTTAGCATTTACAACCCAGTGTTCTGGGGCATGGTATGTATTTGTCATGTGCTTATTATTGCTCAGATCAGTGTGATGAATGTACAAATTCATCTCCAACAGTTTACTTAATATCAGTACTTTTGTATTATACTGTTGTAGCCTAATGCAGTGATGCCAATTCACAACAAAAGTACTAGCAGCAGCAGTAGCTGTAGAAATAGCATTATTAGGATTTAAGACTGCCAGAACTCCATGTATTTTCTTTGGATCCTTATGGTAGTGGTCCTTCATGTTCTGATGTTGGGCATATGTTCAGTACATGTTCTGCTTTCCTACCTTTTCCACTTTTTTCTTTTCTGTGATATTACCATTTCAACTTGCAGAACATAGAAAGTGGAAAGGCCTACCACCTTGTCATGTACATCAAGTCAACGGAACCAGCAGAGCTGACAGTTCGATTGACAAGCTCTGATGGGATGCAAACCCTGGTTCAGCTACGATAATGTTAGTATATTTTCTCTCAGTATTGAGACAGGATAAAATATTTGGTTATTCACATTAGCTGAACATATTGCCCTGCTATAGAGTTTCTGGCACATCAAATTGGACAAAACTGGAGCAAAAATTGGTGGCTAAAGACACGAATAGAACTTCAAGTAACAACTAGCAAGAAAGGAATTGTATGGTTTGATGAAGTATCACCCATGCCTGCGGACACATACAAGGTATATTATAACTTTTGTTCTTTATGGTACTGTAACAGAAATCAGGCTGTGAAAAAATATTGTATAAGGTTTTAAACATACATAGATGAAGAGTGAACCTAGAATATGGGGAGTAATAAAAAGCCAAGCAATCCTAGTCTGTGGTCCAAAACACATTACAATGTTAGTCACCACATTTATGACACAATAATCTATTAAATCATCGTTTATAATTATAACTAGTTACTGTTTTGTTTGTTTGATGAATTTAACACATATGTAAATGAATTTGATATCTTTCTAGCATACGGTCATGCTTATTATCCTTGTGGGTATTTAATATCAATTCTTCTCTATACATGTGGGGACATGGTTTTCGCACTGAACTTATAGCCATGCTTTTGGATTTAAAACCACGATTCTTGAGATTTTCTGGTATGTGTTGTGTTTCCTTAATTAAAGTCAAGTATTAATGTTTGTACAATAATATATTTCATTATTTCTATGTGTGCATACATATTTGTGATAATTTACTAGAATGCATACAACTTGTAGGTGGTTGCTTTGTTGAAAGCAACTGTTTAAGAAATGCTTTCAGTTGGAAGGAATTAACTATTGGTCCATGGGAAGAGAGGCCTAGGCACTATGGATATATTTTGAATCTTTTTTATTTCAGCATAACTAATCATATGTTTATTATAAACTATTCACAAAAAGTTTGCAAAAGACCTGCGGGCTCTCCCAATTTGGGTGTTGAAGTCTAGTAGGTTTTATTATAATTTTGCAAAAAAAATCCTTTTGTGTTATATGGTCAATCATCAACAACATTCCATTAAGTTGGGATTGTTGTCTTGAATTTTAGGTATCAGTCACCATGATGCACTTGACAGCACTATAATTTCAAGTTTTGTTAAGGTACCTTTTGTACTATACTACTATCTAAACCTTTTGTTGTTTGCATGATGTTTAAACTGAGAACCGTAACTCTTTGTAATATTAATTTTTTTATTCTTGTTTGCTTATCTTTCTTTTTCTTCTATTTTTCTTTCTCTTTTCTTTTACTTTTTCAGTGGTTTTTTTATTTCCATTTTTCCATTTTATACTTTTTTCTTTTTATTTTACTCTAAATATTTTTATTTTTACATTTTATTTTTTGTATTCTTAGATACATATGATGTCTTGAGATTTAGACCTTCTCATATAACTTCATCGAGGTGAAGTTTAGCTCAGCAACCTAGTGCCACATAGAAATGTAAATGAGAGGAGATACTAGGAGCTAGGGTTTGGAGAATGAGGGGGGATGCCTTGCCCTTGCCCCTTGGGCTATATTTATAGGAGAGGTGGAAGGAGGCAATTTTCCGCCCTATTCCATTTGGTTTACAAATTACATGGTGGTCCTTGGACTTCTTGGGCCTTAGGCCTTTTTATATGGAAAAGGATAGTCACAGTCGTCCTATCTTCAACATGATGTTTACGTAGTATATATGTGATATTTTTTTGTGAAGAGAAGGGGGATTTATATTAAAACTCAGCACAGTACGTCTCCAAAATACACATGAAAAAAATCTGAAATAAAAAATATATAATATTTGAAAGCATCTAGGCCCCTAGTTGGGTTTCGGTGATTAATGACAATACGTGATTACTGTGACTAACGTGTGTTTTGCAGATGCAATTAAGTTAGGTCATGGTAATGGCAATTGATTGGGCAATCATGGTTGTCATGCCCCTACGATGGAAATCGTTTCGGTTTTCAAAGGATTGACGACAAGGTTAAGGATGGACTAGTTCTAAGTGTCGTTTGGTGTTGAAGAGACACTTATAGTAGTTTAGGACTTTGTTTTTTTCCTTTGATCATACTATTAAGGGGGGTATGGACGGGTAGCTTGACCTAGGTGAGTCTAGTGGGTTAGGTGTGGTGCACACTTGTCAAAACTAGCACTAGGTAGCTCCAAAATAGCCCTTAGATCAATTGGAGCAAACTTCATTCACATATGATTACGAGATGGAAGTGAATGGAGGGTCAAATGCTGACCGGACGCTGGTTCCGGTGTGACCGGATGCTGGCGCAGAGTCCGGTCAGTTCATTTGATCAAGGTGAAATCGTCTGGTACGACCGAACGCTGAGAGGTGAGTGACCGGACGCTGGGTGTCAGCGTTCGGTCAACTCCAATAAGGTTCCAGAGAGCGGTTTTCGCGACCGAACGTGGACGCTGCTAAGCGTCCGGTCACCACTTAACTGCTCGGTTTCGGGGTGAATTGACCGGAGCGTCTGGTCAACTTGACCGGAGCGTCCGGTCATCCCGTAGAGGCACATAACGGTTCGTTTTGAATGAGGGGTTATAAATACTTCCTCTATTCACTCAAGGGATCACTTTTGCTCATTCCAACAGTTGAGAAACACCCTTGAGAGTGCCAAGAAGAGCAAGGTCCTAGTGAGGTGTTTGAGATTTGAGAATCCAAGTGAGAGGCCTCATTAGTGAAAGCAAGAGTAGCAAAGTGTGCATCCACCCTTCTCATTAGGCTTGTCGTGGTCAAGTGAGAGTTCGTGCTTGTTACTCTTGGTGATCGCCATCACCTAGATGGCTTGGTGGTGATGGGGAGCTTAGCGATCATCCGGCAGAGCTTCTGGATGACCCAACTCAAGTTGTGAGCGGTTGTGGGTGATTCACCGCGATAGAGTGTCGAAGAATCAACCCATAGAGAGCACTTGATCCTTGCGCGGATCAAGGGGGAGCTACACCCTTGCGCGGGTACTCCAACGAGGACTAGTGGGGAGTGGCGACTCTCCGATACCTCGGCAAAACATCGCCGCATTTATCTTTCTCTCTTTACTTTAAGCATTTACTTTGAGCAATTCAATTCTTGTCTTTACATTCATAGAATTGCCATGCTAGAGTACGATTAGAATATAGGTTGCTAAACTTTTATGCGGTAGAACAATAGAAACACTTTCTAGGCACAAGGGGTGAAGTGGGCTAACCGTAGGGTTTAATTATTGCAAAGAATTTTAGAATTAGCCCAATTCATCCCCCCTCTTGGGTATTTTGATCCTTTCAATTGGTATCAGAGCCTCGTGCTCACGTATTTAGGCTTAACCGCCTAGAGAAAGATGTCTCACGGGGGTGGACCTCCTCCTATCTTTGAGGGGGGGTGATTTTTCTTATTGGAAAATCTTCATGGAGGCGTATTTAGAAGCTCTAGATGTTGGAATACTTAGAGCCGCCTCACAAGGATTTCCAAAACCTCAGGATCCCACGCGCCTTCAAGGCGATGAAGTAAACTATGAGAAATGGAATGCAAAGGCTCGAAACACCATCTTTAGAGGCATTTGTAAAGATGTGTTTAACCGGGTGAGGAACCACAAGGACGCCCATGCACTATGGTCGGATATTTGTGCGCTCCATGAGGAAACTAAGAGCGAGCGTGAGGAACGCTATTGTCTCGTAATGAAAAAGCTTAATTCTTTTGAGATGCTTCCTAAAGAGAGTGCTAATGAAATGTACTCACGCTTGAATGTTCATGTAGAGGAAGTCAATGGGCTTGGACTCACTCAAATGCAACCATCTGATGTTGTAAGAAAAATCTTGAGTGTCCTCCCCATTGATAAATATGGGCATATTGTGACCGTGCTTCATCAAGGTGATCTTTCCACTGCTACACCGACTCAAATCTTGGGAAAGATCAATGCTCATGAGATGTACATGCACATCACACCACAAGATGGCTCATCCTCTACCAAGAAGAAAGACAAAGACTTAGCATTCAAGGCTATCCAAGAGAAGGGCAAAGCAAGAATTGAGTATGAGAGCTCAAGTGATGATGAAGTTGATGATGCAAGTCTTGCTCTCATGGTGAGAAGAACCGCCAAGATGCTAAAGAAGCTTAACAAGAGTGGCATCAAGTTTGATGGCAAGAAAAAGAAGTTCTTCACTAGCACAAGAAGGAAGCCAATCTTGGAGATGGATTGCTACAATTGTGGAGAACTTGGTCATCTAGCACATCAATGCACCAAGCCCAAGAAAGACAAGTACAAGAATAAGTACAAGGGCAAGAAAGATGACTCAAGTAATGAAGAAGAAGAGAAGAAGAAAAACAAGCCATACAAGAAGAAAGATGGCAAGAAGGACTTCCACAAGAAGAAGAAAAATGGGACGGCATGCATCGTCGGTGATTGGCTCACGGACATTGATTCATCAAGTTGCTCATCCGATGATGATAGTGATAATGAGAAGGTGGCCGCAATTGTGATTGACTCCTCATCATCTTCACTGACACCACCGCCATCATCCTCTACACACCCATGTCTTATGGCCAAAGGTGAATGAAAGGTATCAAATGATGATGATAGTAGTGGTGATGATCATGCTAACAATGATGATAGTGATAGTGATAGTGATGATGATGAATTTGAATCACCTTCGTATGATGATCTTGTTAAATTGCTAAATCAATATACTAAGATCAATAGAAAAACTAGAGCTAAAAATGACAAGCTAGAAGCTAAGAATGATTCTCTTTTAGCTAAATGTGATATAGCCGAAAAGGCTAGTGTTGAGCTTAGAGAAGCAAATGATGCTATGTCATCCAAATTTAAGGAGCTCAAATCTTCTAAGAAAGAGCTTAAAGATAAACATGATAAACTTGAGAGGATACACAATGAGCTCATCACTAGCCATAATATGCCAAAAGAAGAATATACAACTCTCAAGATCAATCATGATAATCTTGTTATTACTCAAGAATTTTTATCCAATGAGCCACATGATGCTACTAACGATGTTGTTAAGATTGATATA